TGTTTTATTTTTGTTTCCCCGGGGATTTGTTCCCCCCCCCCCCCCCCCTTCCTTGGGGGGGGCTTCAGGGGGGGTTCTTGGGGGGGCCCGGGCGGCACGGTTGGGGGCGCCGGGTTGGGCCCCCGGGCCCATTAGGGGGGCCAGGGTTTTTGAAACCGGCGGGAGGAGGCCGGTTTTGGGGGGGGGGTGGTGGCCCCCAGGTTTTCCCGGTGCCTGTTGTTGGTGGGGGTGGCTGGGGGGGGGGGGGGCCCCTGGTTTTTTTTTTTTTTGGGGGGGGGGGGTGGGGGGGGAGGGGGAGAGCCATGCATGCATGCAGGGATGTCGTGTGTTTTGATCAGTGCTCACCGCTGTCTGCGATGGGGGCATGTACTGAATTTCGGTCGTCCGTGGGACGCACAGCAAACTCTCTTCGAAAACGTCTCCCTTGCTACATACACACCACAAACTTTGTCGTGGCCAGCTACACTATCAATAGTCCCGTATTGGCCGCGAAAAAGCTGTCTATTCAGAGCACGCGGCGGTTACATACTACCGGCAGTTGGAGGGGTGTTTTTTTTCTTTTTTTCTCCAACGGCCCAACAATGGTCCCCACACGCCACGGGTGGCAAACATTGTAAAATCAAAAATGAACGGTGGTTTCATTGACGGCGCTCACCTTCCTGAGGGCGGGGACAGGAGAGCTTAATTCCGAACGTGGTTGCAGCATAGGTCGTCGATGTTTGATTTTATTGCTTTGCTACATACAGTGGCGGTATCTGAACATGTCCGTCATGCATATTGCCTATTCGGCGGAAGATGACCAAAGCTCAAGAATAGGGGTCCTTTCGTGTATCAATAATTTTGAAGCGTAGCCAGCTCATGCTCTTTCGCGGACGGGCAATGGAGAGAGTGTGCCCAAGGTTTCATGTAGTGCAAGAGTAGCAGGTGGTGTGAGAAAGGAGGTGGGTGGGCTCAGTTTTCCGTGCCACGTAGTTCGTTCTTGTTTGGATTGGGTAGGAACGAGGGGTGTTGGGTTGACTCAGAGTCATGGGCACACTCCGTCGTTATGTAGATGTTAAACTATAAAAAGCTCTTCGAGGAGCGCGGGGGGGCAGGGGAAGCAAAGAAGCTGCCGGTGGTGATCATGCCACATTCGACCGGCGTAGAAACATGATGTATATTTTTTTATACTCGATTTACAATTTCGCCTGCGGAAGAGAAGGTTGGTGTATTTTCTGCGGCTTTGTTCGATATCGCGAGTCCTTCCTCTATTTAGTCAGGTGGAGTACATATTTCTATTTCGCTTAGTTGGGAAGTTTTGTCGTACAAGCATAGAAGGTTTTCCCTCACCGCATGAAGGCTTTCCGATGGCGAGACCACACCGGGTGTGTGTCTGTGTGTGTCTGTTTTGGATTTGCATCGACCGCGCGCTAGCCGGCTGTCTGTGCGTGTACGTGTGTGCGGAAGACTCCACACACATGACGGCGACCTACACGTACGTGCCTTGGTGGCATGGTCTGTCTGTCTTCAGCGGGATCGGTTGGCTGAGAGAAGTTTTTTGTTGCAGAAAATAAATGGTCGGCGGAGAACAGGAAGGAGTGCACGGACCGTACAAGATGGACGAAGAGGCTAGTAGTGGTTGTATGAGGTAGCCGATTGGGTTGGGCAGGTGCAAATGAATTAGATGTAGGTCGGGTCTCAGGCCAATACCTAGCGAGCAGCGCACATTAGGAAAAACAATTACAAGACTACCCGTTCGAGATATACCCACAGTCGAACGGGATGTGGTGTAGTCTTTTCAGTGAAGGCAGAAGACACCGGGGGGTTGAAAGACATCATCACGGGGTACTAGTAACACATCCATCCGTCACCGGTCAGCACCGAAAAACACGCCTGCCTGTGCCTGTGAGTTGTCATCATTTGTGGGGATATGGTCACAGACGTTCTTCTTGTCTATCTTTTGGGGAGAGCAAGTCTTGTTTCTGTGTCGAGAGTCTTCGTTCCCCCTCGGTAGAAAAGAGAGGGTGGCGGTGAAGGGTTGATTTCTATCCGGATATAATTGAACGTAGCTTGGTTATTGGTCACCGTTCCTGGGAGAAAATAGGACCTCAGCATACTGCATACTGGGTGGTTAGATCATCTGTTCATGTTGTTGTGTTCGTGTTTTGTCGAGGCTGGCGTAGGCATGCATCCCCCCCCTTGATTGAATGTTTGTCCACCCTCTCTCACGCCTATCGTTCCGTCGTCGCCATGTATATGGTTGCTGTGTCTGGTTGCTGTAGCCGTCAACGAACTCTCCTTCTTTTCTCTGCCTATAGTGTTGTACACGCGACACCGATCGTCGGTCTTCTTTTCTCTGCCAAAGCTCTTAGTGGTTGTTGTTGTTGTACACGTGACATTGTTTTTGTTTTCGTTGTCGGCTCTTTCTTGTGTCCGTTGTTGTACACCGGACATCATCAAATAATAGCCCATGTCTTTTTGTATGAATCTTGGTGTCCGTTCCTGTTGTACTGTGTGACGTTGTTTGTGTCATCTAGGAGCCGTAGACGCCTCCTGGCGCGGAGGAACGGACGTACGTACCGTTTGGGGTTCGTGTGTTCGTCTGCATATTTGAGCCTTTAGCCTAAGGTGCGATCTGGGGGGGTATGTCTTTGCGGAATACACCTTGTCTCTGAAATATTCCGTTTTGATACAAGCAGCGGACTTTTTGTTGTTTAGCCGCAGCAAGCCGTACGTAGAAGTATAAATAATACATACGCGTTGCCTCTTGTGCACTGCTGTTGGCTGGGAGTGAGCGATAGCGAGCCATTGAGAAAAGCAGCAGGAAAATTAAAAGAAGAAAATCGGGGTGAAACGGAGCCAGCCGCTGTTTTATCCAGGTCTGTTAGTGGTCGGACCTACTCGACTCTGAGATCTCGTCACACTTAACTTGGCGTCCTCGGGCAGGGTAGGTCTGGTTCTTCTTTGCAGTAAATACATCGCATCTCCACAAAAAAAAAATATTTTTCGCAAGCTTTCATCACCTTCTTCACATTCAGGTAGTACACGTGCGTTCTCACCATCACCCGCGCACGCACGGGAACAAATTCCCATCAGCTTTCCAACTTCTTCGCCATATTCATTTTTTATCTCCCTTTTCACCGTCGTCGATTACTCTCGCTTGCGATTCGGGCCCCCGCGTCCACTGGGGGCGCGGGGGCCATTCAGTACGTTCGTTTTTTCAGTCTGGCGCCAGTCTGCAAGCCTTTTCGGGGTGGTAGTGTAAATGTTTTGTCCGCCGGGTAGGAAAAGAGTGGCGAGGCGCTGAAATCTGGTAGTATCCCTCCCTCTGGTTCGACGCGCGTTCATTCAATGACAACCGATTGTTGTTCGTAGAAGTCATGATCAGGTTGCCCTTCAACGGATCGCGCGCAGTACCATTCGAAGACGAAATTGGAACGTAACGACCCTTAACCCAACATTGCACCAACTCAGGTTTTCGCGTTGGACATCGGTTAACTTGCCGTGGTCACGGGCGGTGTATGCACCAGGGGTCGTATTTCCATGACGACGGTAAGACACACTAGTGCCTCACCACGATGCGCGTTAGTCGTGGGAACGGCTACGGTTTCAATCAAGGGTGAATTAAAACTAGAGGGACGGGGCAATCAAGGGTGAATTAAAACTAGAGGGACGGGGCGGAGGTGGCCACTGTACCTAACCCCGCGACGAACAGGATGCCACCGACGAATGATGCATTTTTGCCTAATAGCTAGCTCTCGACGCGACGGTTCGCACGCCGCCGCATTCGTCACCGTCGCTGCTTTCGCTGCAGAATAATCGAGCTTCGAGAAGCGGGTTCGCTGCAGAATAATCGAGCTTCGAGAAGCGGGCAAGGGGGCGAAGTATCTTACGCAAACTACGGTAGCATATTATTGGCGTTGCTACTTTGCGCTGACCCACTCCCGGATGTGTGCCAAAGCTGCAGAGTGCAATGGGCATCCCACTCGTACTGTACAACAAGGCAGGCACAGAACGAAGTGGTTTTGTCCGCCAAGATCGTTCGTTCCTCGGAGCCTTCTTTCGTGGAAACTGCATTCCGTGCCCGCCGCCCCCAACGGTTGGGGCTAGGCGGCAAACTGGGCGTTGATCAAGACACATTGAAATTGAAGCTTTTGGCAATTAACGTCTTGCAGCTAGGACTGACTA